AAAGGTTGTTATCGGAATGTAACAGCTTTTTCTTCTACTGGGTTGCCTAGTGAACAAAACTATAAGTACTTCACTCAATTTCCTACTCCCCGACTCTCCTATCCGTTAATCATCTTGACATACCAGTAACGAGTAATTATAAACGCGCTCGGTAATGCGGTAGAACACAGGGAAATATGAATTTATGCCTTCTCAAGAGGAGAAATTATGTAAAATTAGCATAAGCTGTGACAGACGAAATTCTATTTGCCCGCTATTAAGTTTGAATTGAAGCAATATTTTGATTTAGTGATTTACTAAGCGTAGTTTAGAGTTGGCACAAGGACGTAAGAATTGTGCGCTCATTGACGAGTGGACTGACTACTAAATAGTAATTGATTTAGCTAGGCAAGGCTGTGAATCATAACATTAGATCGAAATGCTGATAATGTACATTGCCGGAGGGTACATTTTAGGCACTTAGACGTGGCGTAATAGATGTCTGACTAAATCATTCTTTTACGATAGTGTTCACCTTGTACAAGGTCCGGAGGCCATTTGAGTTATAAGGTGACAGAGTAAGAGGCGCAGATTATGAGGATACGCGTCAAAGATAAAGGCTAACTGCAGAATTGGACAATGATCACGGAAGCATCAACCCTGGGAATCGGTTGCACAAGTTCGTGGAAAAAAGGTGCGCGAGTAGCTTACATTTTATCAAAGGAATACGGAAGGAATGGGGATGATTCGACACAATGGACGTGGCGTAACAAGGCTGGCTTTAGTCGTGAAGATAGAACTAAGAAATGTAATTCATCTGAACACTTTCCATGAAAATAACAACAGAGCAGCTTTGTGACGGTCTCGTCTGTCAGAAAAGAAACTGTAGGCTGGAATATAATTCGTCACCACGGAGCGGAGATGCTTTTGGACACTATCAAGAGCGGAGAGATTGAGCAGCTCCTGTCCATATATGAGACTCCATTCCCGTTGTGATCTGGCACTTGTAAAGGTAAAGGTTAGCAGGAAGAGTCAAGTAATGGCTGTAGCGATACAGAGAACCGACCATTTTTCCAGCATCCTTAGCGATGGATCGTATGTACGAATTCGAATTGAGGTCCGAGCTGGGTTTGTGAGTTCGATGTGAGTTCGATACTCGCAGAATGCTCTATAATTGCAGCTTGTCCCACATCGCATCTACTTAGGTCAGTCGTGATAGCCGAATAATTGTACCATCGTACACGAGGAAGATTGATCCAAACAACATGCTTTCTTGTTTTGGTAACTGCCAAAGATAGAAAGTGATATGATTCTATTATGGCGATATTATTTTTATATTATATTATTATATAATATTAATATTCATAATATCATTTATAATATTAAAATACAGTGGAACCCGGATATAAGAGAGTTGTCGGGACCGGAGAAGAAGTATCTTATATCCGGGTTTCTCTTATATCCGGGTTTCTCTTATATCCGGGTTTGGTCTATTTTATATACATTAACACAGGTTCTAATTTGGGACCAGATAAAATCTCTCTTATATCCGGGTTTCTCTTATATCCGGGTCTCTTATATCCGGGTTACACTGTATTAATATTTATATATTATATAATTATATTATAAATTATATCATATATTATATTATGTATTATATATTACATATATTATATTCATATTATATATATATTGTATATATTATATATATAATGTTATATATTATTATATTATATTATTATATATTATATGATTTATTATATGATTTATTATATTATATCATTATATATTCATACTGTTACATTATATATATTATCAGGTCATCCCATAAGTTCTGTCCAAATTTTGAATAAAGAAAACAAGTGACCAAATGTTACATTTAATTACAGATTCAATCAACAATGTATTTTCCCTGATTATCTATGACTTCCTTCCATCTTTTAACAAGCTAACTAATTCCATTAGTGTAAAATTCTTTTGGCTTTGATTCGAAGAACTCACAAATGTCAGTTTTAACCTCTTCCTGTGTTACAAAAGCTGTTTCTTCCAAATGATTCTGTAAGCTACGAAACAAATGGTAGCCTGAAGGAGCAAGATCGGGAGAATAAGGTGGATGAGGAATTTTCTCCCAACCAAGTTGACGTGATTCTTGCTGTGTGGGGTCGCGCATTGTCCTGATGAAACATCACCTCTTTTCGATCCACTAGAACAGGTCTTTTTTTCCTCAAAGCTTGGTTCAAACGCTCTAATTGCTAACAGTATATTTGAGCATTAATTGTTGCATTAGCTGGTAAGAATTCAAAGTGGATTATTCCTTGGCGATCCCACCAGATTGAAAGAAGAACCTTTTGCCCATGAAGTTCTTTTCTCGGCTGTGGCTGGGGTTCTTCCCCTTTACCAAGCCACTGTCTACGACGCTTAACATTTCGATAAAAGATCCATTTTTCGTCGCCAGTCATAAGTCTATCCAAAAAAGGTGAAACAAGTTGGCGAGAATGGAGAGAAGAGCAGATGTCAACTAGGGTTTTGAGGTTGTTTTCAGACAATTCATGAGGCACCCATTTTCCAAGTTTAGGAACTTTTCCAAGTTGTTGAAGATGACGATGAACAGTTGTATGGTTTGAACTGAGAACCACTGCCAATTCCTCAACTGATAAAGCAGGATTTTCTTCAAGGGCTGCTTCAAGAAGCTTTTCATCAAACTCAACTGGACGTCCGGTTCGATCTTCATCTTCAAAGGAGAAATCTCCACCTCTGAATTTTGCAAATCATCTTCTGCAAGTTCTTTCATTCACACATTTCTCTCCATAAACTGAGTGAATGCTTCTAGCCGCTTCGTCTGCTGAGTCTCCTTTCTTAAACTCATAAAACATTATGTGCCTCAAATGATTCTTGGGTACTTCCATGTTAGCAGGGTTTTAAGCAAACAAAATTTAATTTTATTGTTCTCTGAATTAAGATTTGATCAGTTTAAATGCATCTAAACATAAAAATAATGTTCAGCTCCATTAGACATTATAAAATAATCTTTAAATTTCGTTCAATTTAACAAAAAGTTAAAATTCGGACAGAACTTATGGGATGAACTGATATATATCATATTCTATATATATTACATATATTGTATATATTATATTATATATTATATTATATGTATTATATATTATTATTATAGTATATTAAATTATAATATTACATAATAATATATATTATTATATTATATTATATTATATTATATTATTCTTATTATAGCAATCTTCTTCTTCTGTGTCCCGCCTCTCTTCAGATGATGGGGTATCAAGTCTCTACAAAATTTCCTGTCCTTTTTACCCTTTAGTAAAATTTAACTTTTTGCTATACATCCTGATCTCTGCTCTGCAAATATTTCACATCTTTATGTACGCTATTCACTGCTTAACTCTGTCACTCTAGACATCAATATCTCCTGTGAGTGTCAAATTCTTCAAGCCCACTTTCTTCATTATGTGCCCTAGAAATTTACCCAAGCTCTTTAGGTAGGTTACTCACTGCTTTCCTCTGTCCTTCTTGCCTTCAGTGTATCATTGTCATATTTTCTAAGCTCTCTTTCCTCAACTTGTGTCCGAGAAATTACAACAATCTCATTCTGACCTTTTTGTTTACATTTTCTGTAAAACTTCCTCGTTACTCATATGTTCATTCCATGACATTCTCGGCATCGTTTTGTAGAACCACATTTCTGTTGCCTCGTCTATACACTATCCTTGATGATATTGTCCAGCATTCATTGCTGTATATGAGTATCAATAATTCATAAATGTTCATCAGTAATTCCTAAATCAGTTTTCAATTAAATTTCCATCATTCGTAATAATTCGCTTAAATTTTGGAGGACTCTTTCGCTCTCCCAATGTGCTTCGGATTTCGGTGCCGTGATTTTTATCCTGTGTTAAAACATTTACCAGCTATTTAAATTGATGCAGATATTTAATTTTAGTACCTCCAACATATAATTCTCATTTTGGACTGTTTGTTTTGCACACACGCCAACATTCTGTTTTCGTACAGGTGATATTTATTCCTCTCTTCTCGCTTTCCTCTAAAACATTCTATAGGAGTTCCTCTAGTTTCCTCTCTGTGTCATCTGCCCTGTGTCATCTGCATATCTTATGTCGTTAAGGTTATAGCCGCCAATAATGAATCCAGGTGTGACTTCTAATACTCGCATGTTTCATTGAAAAAGTTAAGTAAGTTCGGTGAATCATCCTTGTGTTGCGCACCATTCCACTTTTGCTAGGTTACGTGACGTCATATATATATATATGTGTGTGTGTGTGTGTGTGTGTGTGTGTGTGTGTGTGTGTGTATGTGTGAAATTTAAAAAATTAAAAAGACACACAGATAAAAATTTCAGTTTGACCGTTTATATATAGTTTATATAATTTAACAATACACACACACACACACACATATATATATATATATATATATATATATATATATATATATATATATATATATATAACAACTAACAGTAAATCACTGAATTTTAAGGCGATAATATTTATAAATATAGTGTTCAATAGATATATACATATATACATGCATACATACATACATACATACATACATAGGAACAGCCGAAGATAGATAGATAGATAGATAGATAGATAGATAGATAGATAGATATGTGTGTCTGAGAGTGAGTGTGGGTAATTAAATAAAATTCATTGAGAGCGCCGTTAAATAAATAAGACATTTTTCTTGTTTTAACATCTAACAATATATTTTTACTTTTTCTTTAGATGTTTTCTCAGAGTCCCTTGGACCCTTTTTTCAATTTCAAATTTTGCCTTTTTGAACAATTCTGATGAGTGATTCCCTTTTGTTTTTAGCGTGACGCTTACTGCTTTATTTTTTCTCGTATGTCAGGTAAATATGCATATTGTCATCAAAAGTCATATTAATGAACTGACGTTAGCGTCTATTATCCCCAGATATTTTATATCCATTTATTATTTCTGCTTCTTCTTTTCTTTTAA